TTTAGCTAAACAAGGGGCAGAAAGGGATTCACTGTTTTGGGCTAAGCTGTAATTTTAGTGTATTCTTTTCTCTTTTTCTTCTTTTTTCTTTCTTTTATGAGGCTCTTAGTGACTCTTGGAAGATAAGTGTGTTTGTCTTCCTCCTGTAAATTTTCTACTGATGATTTAATGAGTGTTATTGATCAAAAAAAAAAAAGGATTTAGGTATGTCTTTTTATCTCAAGAGATGCAAGATCCCTAGCATTAGGGATGCAAGTAAAGTCGGGTTAAGTTAGGTTGAGGTTGAAGCCCCAACCCCATGACTTTAAAAATTTGGGTTAAACTTCCAACCTAGACTTGACACCACTAGGGGTGAGCATTATTCGGTTAAAACCGAATTGTCGAACTGAAAATTTCGGTTTCAGTTTTTTCGGTTTGTTGGTTTTTGGGTAATTCGGTTCAGTTAATTCAGTTTTTAGCAATTTTGGTTTTCAGTTTCGGTTTTCAGATTTAGAAATTCGGTTAACCAAAAAAATTGAATTAACTAAAATTCATTATATAATATATAATATATAATATATAATATATAATATATAATATATAATATATAATATACAATATATAATATTTAATATACAATATATAATATTTAATATTTAATATACAATATATAATATATAATATATAATATATAATATATAATATTTAATATTTATATATTAATATTATATATAATGTATTATAATGAAATTAAATTTCATAATATATATTATAGGCTATAATATATAATATTATATATATACATATATTAATTAAATTCGGTTTTTAACCGAAATAACCGAAAACCGAGCCAAAAATTTCAGTTCAGTTATTTTGGTTTTATTATAATTCGGTTTTGGTTTTCATTTTTTTTTTTATTTCGGTTTTAAAAATTTTGGTTTATTCGGTTCGGTTTTTAATCGAATAAACCGAATGCTCACCCCTAGACACCACAAATAAAACACATGCCTCCTTTTTTGTCTGGCATTATTCAGGCTCTAATTCCTGAAATTTGATCCTATGAAAGTGTCTATGTTACTTTTTATAATTAAAATAACCCTAGATTTTGCCATTGTTCAACCCACTGCCAGAAATTCTGACTTTTCAAAAGCTCTATGGGACTCCTCACTTGTCCACCCCTTTTTCCTCCCAATAAAGCTTAGCTGTATTATTTTCATCTTGTAAGAAATTAAAGCATTATTACAAAGCAGCTGTCCCATTCTCATCCCACTATAGTTTGATCGTTTAAAAAAGGGCAGCCCAGTGCACATTGGGACTCCTGCCAATGTGGGGTCTGGGTAGGGACAGATGTAGACCCATATCTTGTAGTACAACAAGCGTATGAGTAGACCATAAGTAACTTATTATACAACAAGCCCTTTGAATGCCTCCGTTGCTACACATATCTTGCAGTACAAGCTCTAGGTATTCTTATTCTTGTCTAAATATCATTGAAACTCTAATTCTTGAACCTTACCTCTGTTTAAATATCCATGTCAGTTCTTGTGATTTTAACACTAGATTTGTCTCCTTACAATGAGTCTAATTGTTACATTCCTAGAAACCCTAATTGTCTCTTGCCTGCCTTAAATTAATCTAATTTTCATCATGACACTTATATCTGAATGAAGTTGTTGTGCTTCTGAGTGAACACACATAATTTGCCTTTATGAGATGCTCTTTATGAGGATTATCCATGTGTGACTTTGAAAAAGAAAAAAACAAAACAAAATACAATACATATACCCGGGGGGGGGGGGACATTGAGCTGATTGCATCTATGCGCGACATGTTAGATGCTTCCAATACATATACAGCTGATGTTGTTCTTCAAGTTAATTGTCTAACTTCTGCCAAAATACAAGGAGGTTGATTTGGAGGTATGTTGTATTTCTTATCCAAAGGAGTTAACAGAAAAATGAACTGCAAATGAAAGGAAAAGGAAGGAAACTCTGTTCCCCTTGCCTATTACAACTTCTAGAGATACGTACCTACTGAACATGTAAGGAATGTAGAACCACTTAATAATGTTTCCTACCAAGTGCATCATAATTTGATTATTAGGTGGTTGCAACCATAAAATGTATCAAGTTATCATGCATTGCCTATAAAATTCTTATGGTTGATACTAGAAATTGGGTGGATCATAGTCATATGTTGGTTTTGGATTTAGGAGATATCCCTTGATGTCCCTTCTGGTTATAATCTAATCTAGCTTCATGTCTGTTGTATGTTCATTTTTATACAATCTACATTGTGTTGATAGCGAATAATGCAAGACCTTTTAAAACTGTGTATATCTTGCTATCATGGCATATAGCAGGCTCTAGAACCAATGATAACACTCCACACCAGTGATTAAATACATGGGGCCCAATTGTGGGCTCCATGTATTTTATGACTAGTGTGGGATGTTATTTATTTGGTTCCACAGCCTGCTGAACAGCTAAAGCATTCAGCTAATCCTATCTCAAGTAAAACTATGTAGTTGTCTCTTTTCAGTTTTTGTTGATTTCTCTTATGCTGCACTGCAGGCAGTTCTCTTGGAGCATCCACGTGTCTTGTCTGCAAATGTGGGGAACGCATGGGACCTTCCAGAAAACACATTTGGTGCAGCCTATGCAAAGTTCATGGAATCAAGGAACTTTTCCCCAGATGACCGGCCACCCGTACGCTTCATGGAGACGGAGGAGCTGGCATATGTCGCCATGCGGGCACGTGAGGTGCACGACTTTTGGCATACCTTATTTGGCCTCCCTACTAACTTAATTGGTGAGACTGCTCTTAAGGTTATAGAGTTTGAGCAGATGCTCCTACCTATGTGCCTGCTATCCGTCATTGGGGGAACATCAAGGTTCAATGAGAAGCAGAGGTCAGTTTTCTACCAGCACTACTTCCCATGGGCGATACGTGCTGGAATGCAGTGTACAGATTTGATGTGTATATACTATGAGCAGCATTTCCATGAGGATTTGGAGGATGTTCGAAGGAGATGGGGGATAATTCCTGTTCCTGTACCTCCTAAACCAAATTCATCCTGATCAGTTATCTCTTTTCAAGTGTTTAAGTTGCAATCTGTACCTGGTTCTGTTTCACAACTCTGGACTTTGGGCTTGGTCTGTTAGCTCAGTTTCTCAGTTGTATAATTATTGTTTTCACATATTTATTTAACATCTTATTCAAGAAATTATAGAAACTAGATCAATTACAAGGTTTTTTATTATGGATAGACCAATTAAGAGAAATTGCACCCTCAAATTGATTGATTGATACAATGCTCTAATGTCCTTTCTCTGCACTGGCGGATTGGATTCCATCCCACAAGTCTCTAGAATGTTATGTTTCTTTCCAATTGTAAGATAACTAGTTTCTCATTGTTCTTTTCTCTGTTAATTTCCTGCTCCTCCCCTTACTCTCGACAGTTTTCCTATTTGGTATGCTTGATTTTGTTCTTTGTGTTTAAGGCAAAACACTGTTGGAAATCAAAGGGGCTTTCAACGACAGTTGGAGCTTCCTAAAAAATTGGAGAGCTGATTTCAACCCATGCAACTGGACCAGTATTTCCTGTCATCCTGATGACCAATGAGTCAGTTCAATGTATGTTACTGTTTCTTCTATACTTGTTTTTCATCTTCACTTCTCTTTTTTTTTTTTTCTTCTTTTTCTTCTGTTTTTGTTCTTCTTATGATTTCTCTAATGGGTCACTCAGAAACCTACCCTACATGCAACTTGGAGGTATCTTATCACCAAGCATTGGCAAGCTCAGTAGGTTGCAGAGACTGTAAGCCCTCTGGCCTCTCTTCCAAAGAGAAGAAAAAAGAGGAACGGAGGAACTGAAGAAAGCCTTGACTCTTCTTTTATTATTTATTTATTTACTATTCATTCATCTTTTACTAATCAGGGCACTTCACCAGAACAGCTTACATGGATCAATTCCTACTGAAATTGTTAACTGTACTGAGCTCAGAGCACTGTAAGATAAGAGAGCTCTTCTCCTTTGATTTCATTAACAAAAAAAAAAAGTTCCCTTCTCAGTTTCCTCCTTCATTGAATGTTTTACTTGAACATTCATGACCTAAATTGTTCTGATGTACTATCTACAGATACTTGAGGGCCAATTACCTCCAAGGAACTTGCATTAGTTAATGTAAACATATTGCTCACTGGAGACATCCATTTGATCTTGTCTTGGTCCAATATTAATTTATCAAAACATGAATGCATTGACCTATCTAGCAATTTGTTGAAGGGATCCATACCATCTTCTATTGGCCATCTCACACATTTACGTTTTCTGTAAGTTCAAAGCATGGAACTAGTATGAGTAGTATCCTAATTCCTTTTGGATTATACCATTGTTATTTCAGTTGTACACTGGTAGAAGTGGGTTAGATAATATGTCAGAAAAATGCATTTATTTGGTTCTACACATCTCAGGAAATTATCCACCGATTTCTTTTCTGGAGAAATTCCAAATTTTGGAGTACTGGGCACCTTTGTAACAAGTCGTAAGTCTTCTTTTATGTTCCCTTCTATTTTAAGTAATCTTAGATAGTTATGACACTTTCTAAGCATTGTATGCTAAGTGAAGAAAGGTGATGATCCTAGATGCCATGGGCTTGGTATTAAATCATCTGATTAGATCTGTTTTGGTACTTGGAAAATGTTGGGGCCACTTGTGGGTGCATTATACACGCATAACTGTGAATAGTTATTGGATCATCCAATTGATATCTGGTATATGGCTAAGAAAGGAGCTTCTCAAGTTCCATCTCCCAATCCTCATAAGAAGACCTTAGCCATTTGATCATATGCATGTTCTTTGAACAGTGAGGAAATGTAAGTGCACATAATCTGCAAAAGTATACAGATATTAGATAGTGATAATAAGCTCATTTAGTTTTTTTTAAGATACCTAGGTGTCTGACATGGATAAATCCATTGCCATGTGGCAGATCAGAACCACTGATATTGAATCTCATTCTTCAATGTTTGGGCCCAATTAGTGATTGTTACATCATCCAAACCTCAGTAGCTCTTTTAAAATTTCAGTAGTTAGAAATTCTCCTGAAAAATGCTGTGGAACATGTGGCTAATTGGATGGGTGGTTGTCTTGTAAATTAGGGGTAGGTTTAGGATATTTGGGGCCTGGACTTTTACTAATGGTCCTGATCTTCTACATCTGTTTTGGCAATGTTGCACCATTGGTGACTAACCAGTAGGGCACACTCTCATTTTCCATTGGACAATTAGGGCTATTGGGCATTTACCATGGTTTTCGGTAGGGTACCCCCAATATAAATAATTCATTGCATAATATCATGTATGCCCTGTTTTTATTTTTCATCTCTTGATATGTTTAAGTTCTTTCGCATGCTTTACCATTGGATTTATTCTTCTAAGTACCTTTAGATCTGATGAACCACCAGGTAACTAAAATGATGTTTTTTTTTTCATTTTTTTTATTTATTTTTTCATTCCAAAACCACCTGAAAACAAATGAAGTTATTTAAAGACTAATACTGGTTTAACCATTGGTGATTGGGTTAGCTGCAGTCCCTACTAAACGATTTCCTCATTTCCTTGATGGAATCCTTATTGGTACCATGTCTGCAATGGGTCTAGCACTTGTTCTGCTACTTGCATTCCTTTGGATATGTTTACTTTCAAAGAAAGAAAGAGTTGCCAGGAAATATATAGAAGTCAATAAACAAACTGATCAGGATTCAGGCAAGAAATCTGTTTGACATTTCCCTGTTTTCTCTCTTTCCATCCGCCCATCAAAACCTAATCAATTTCCTACTGGCAGGTACCAAGCTCATCACATTCCATGGGGATCTTCCATATTCCTCCTGTGTAATCATAGAAAAGCTGGAGTTACTTGGTTCATAAGATGTGGTGGGATAGGGAGGATTTGGCACTGTATACAAGATGGTGATGAATGATGGTAGCATATTTGCTGTTAAAAGGATCAACCGTAGTTGTGAAGGATCTGATAAAATTTTTGAGAGAGAGCTCGAGATCTTGGGTAGCATAAAGCATATTAGTCTTGTCAATCTATGTGGCTACTGCAGTCTTCCAACTGTCAAGCTTCTCAAGCTTCCAACTGTATACAAAATGGTGGTGAATGATGGTAGCGTATTTGCTGTTAAAAGGATCAACCGTAGTCGTGAAGGATCTGATAAAATTTTTGAGAGAGAGCTCGAGATCTTGGGTAGCATAAAGCATATTAATCTTGTCAATCTACGTGGCTACTGCAGGCTTCCAACTGTCAAGCTTCTCATGTGTGATTATGTAACCTTGGGCAGCTTAGATCACTTCCTTCATGGTATGTCCATTCTTTTAACTGAATATAATGATGTCTACTTATAACACCAAAAGATTATGAACCACAAATCAGCATAGTTAGCAACTACATTGATGTTTCAACATTTTAATCCATTTCTCCATGTCTCCAAAGTACAGGCAAGAAAAGCAACCTCTGAACTGGAATGCTCGGTTAAGAATTGCTCTTGGTTCTGCTTGAGGACTGGCATATTTACACCATGACTGTTGTCCACGGATAGTGCATCGTGACATAAAATCCAGTAACGTACTCCTGGATTAAAATCTGGAGCCTCATGTTTCTGACTTTGGCCTTGCTGAACTGTTGGTTGATGAGGGTGACCATGTAACGACTGTGGTTTCTGGCACTTTTGTATGTTGTTAACTTTCATTTATAATTTAACACATTATTATATCTTCTAGAATCTTGCACAGCCCCCATTTGGGTTCAGTATTTATATCAACAGGGAAATCCAAATAACAGAATCAAACTCTCCTTATGTCTAGCCTAACCAGGTTGTTGTCTTTTGTTTCCTTGAATATATTATAAATAGCAATTCAAAAATCTTATGTTTGCCACCTTTCAATCAGTCTGTTTTGTTTACATCTTAGTTGCTATTTGAAAAACAGAATATCTACAACGTGGACGAGCAACTGAGAAATCAGATGTTTATAGTTTTGGGATTCTATTATTAGAGCTTGTTACTGGGAAGAGGCCTACTGACGCATCTTTTGTCAAGAGGGGATTAAATATTGTTGGCTGGGTGAGTTCTTGAGACACTGCTTCACTCTATGATTTTTCTTTTTCCTTTGCTCATTTGCTTTCTACAAAGGGGATACCAACCCAATTCTGTCTCTCCAGAAAAGAGAGACCAGACTTTCTCTGTCTATTTGCATTGCTCATTTGGAGCTTTTTCCTTTGTTATCTGTTATGTGCCTTAGGAGAACTCACCCCTAAAAGCTAGCTGTTAGAGGGAGGGAACCCAAGCACATATATACCCCACAACCACATCTCATACTACGGATGTGGGATACCTCACATTAGCATCCCATAGGACCAATACTACCAATGTGGGACAAATGGATCATAACATTCCACCACGCTTTGCGGTCCCGGCGCCCACACAGGCTGGCTTTGCACTAGCCCACCTAGTCCCGGCTGAACACTGCAATACTGACGTCACCACCTGCGCTGCACGATTGCAACTGGGAGTTATAGTGTAGGCTCTGATACCAAAATGTTGGGATTCTGCCCAACACAGACTCTTCTTCGAGGGAGAATTCCTCCTACAGAGAGAGAGATGGATGAGAGGAAGAAAACTGAGATTATTCTTCTTATTATTTTGTAATTCATTACAATCTCTTTTATACTTTTCTTTTGGTTACACTTTAACAGATTTACACAGTTCACAGATGGCATCTTGCAACCACTTCTTGCATCCTTAGATTCTTGGTACTCGATTCTTCTTCTGTTGGTGGTTGTTGACGTGGCTTCTTTTTTTCCTCTCCTGAAATAGGTGTTTACCACCACCGGCTTGAGTCGTCTCCCTGAAGAGTTCCTAACATTATCTCACTGCATTGACAGAGGAGATCTGACTCAAAAGTACCTTGATCTTTTACAAGTCAAAATTTAATATGACATGTTCTGGTATGTTCAGATGAATACTCTTGTCAGAGAAAGACGGTTGGAAGATATTGCGGAAGGTGCAGTGATGCAGATATGGAGACTGGAAGTGGTCCTAGATATTGCCGCAAGATGCACTGATGCAAACCCAGATGCTCACCCATCTATGAGCGAGGTCTTGCAGATACTAGAGGTCATGTCACCTTGCCCAAGAGAATTTTTACGAGTCTCGTTCAGATTGCTCTTGAAAGAAAACGATAGTGGAATATGGTTGTGGTGCATACCAACATTAGCTATATACTAGGTTTTGTCCTTGCCATTTTGATGAATTCTAGGGCTTCTTTCCCTTCCTTTGGGGCTTGTATATTTGTCTTGCAATCCAAGGATGATGGCACAATTGAAATTTCTGAGGCTTCCTCTGAGGAGATTGCTGCGGAAAAACTAGAGAAATCCATGAGAAGGCACTGCCCCACAAATCAAAGAAAAGAGAAATTTAACTATTCGTGCCATAATTCTTTTTCTCGAGCTGTGAAACCACCCAAGAATGTGTCACTACTCGTCTCCCCCAGAGTTGGGTTATTGGACAAGATAACCAATATCAAAATAGAATAATGGAAAGTTATGTTAATAGATTCATAAAAGACTGAAGGGGCAAGAGTCAGAGTAGAAAAAGGACATCAACTGAAGTAGTAAGAAACTAAGAATTGATTTAAGCACTCATAATTTAATAATAAATATGGCATTAAAGGCAAAACATGATTCATGTAGCCACTCCCCATATAGTTGGGGCAATGCTTAATGATGACTACCATAATAAAAAGCTTAGCAAATTGTAAACCAAATATATTACTCAAGCACTCACCTTCAGCACTTAGCATCCCTCCAGACATGGAGGTGTGGTTTCAAACCCACATAATTGCAGGCTTTTTGATGGTAAGGCTACTGGATTTCGTGTGATCCTGCTTTGTTTCCTCTCTTTAATTCCCCTTTACTGTGCAATATGTAATGCCGAACTGAAATAGTGTTAATTGTGTATAATTACGTTATGGGAATCAACAGAGTGGAGGAATGGGTTAAGGGAAAGCCATAATTAGCCTTGATCTGCTGTTCGGCCTATTACGAACGAACATATTAATTCTGTTCACATGTATATGGGTCAGTAGCCACGTAGATTGACAAGATTAATATGCTTGATGCTACCCAAGATCTCGAGCTCGCTCTCAAAAATTATGTCAGATCCTTCATGACTGCGGTCAATCCAAGGTTCAAAGTATTGATACGTATTGGCCTGTATTGATCGACATGTATCGTTCCGGGACCCCTCCGATACGCCCCTATAGTGGGAGTATTGGGGGTCTGACCGGTTCAGGGGATGGAGGAGCCCTAAATCGGCCCCCCTGAACTGGTTTCAGAAAAAAAAAAAAAGTAAAAAAAATAGTATCAATTTGTCCGATACACCCCTACCGACATATTAGATGTATCGATATTTTAAACCTTGGGTCAATCCTTTTAACATACCATCTTGTATGCAGTGCCAAATCCTCCCGATCCCACCACTTCTTCACCAAGTGACTCCAGCTTTTCAATGATTTCACAGGAGGAATATGGAAGATCCCCATAGAATGTGATGTGCTTATTGGTACCTCCCAGTAGGAAAATGATTGGCTTCCGATAGGAAGATTGAAAGAGAAAAAACAGGGAAATGTCAAACAGATTTCTTACCTGAATCCTCAGTTTGCTTATTGACTTCTGTATATTTCTTAACAACTCTTTCTTTCTTTGAAAGTAAACATATCCAAGCGAATGCAAGTAGCAGAACAAGTGCTAGACCCATTGCAGCATGGCACCAATAAAAATCCCATTGAGGAAATCGTTTAGTAGGGACTGCAGCTAACCCATTCACCAATGGTTAAACCAGTGTTCATTTGTCATTTTTAAGAGGACTCGTGGGTCCAACCCACATTCATGGTCCATACTAATCCTAGGAACTAGAAAGTATTCATGGTCCATACTAATCCTAGGAACTAGAAAGTATTCATGGTCCATACTGTGCATGCCCAATCAACCTATGTATAAATAATATAGTATCATTCAAATAAAGCCTGATTGCCTTATAAATAGTTGTACATCTGAGAAATCTCATTTTGCTTATAAAAAATTTTCTGTCCCGTCCAATTATATTGGAACACGTCACACTCTCCCTCTCACTTTGAAACTAACAGACTTGAGATGATCATTCCCGCCAAGTATTCTCTTCCCATCCCTCTTCTCTTCCCCTCCCTCTTCTCTCCACCCACCGCCCCTTCACCCTCACTGACGTTCGAACCCAAATATCATTCGCCGTCATCGGAGATGACGCTGCATCTGAGCCTCTGCAAGTCCCTCTCTCTTCTCTTTTCCTTCCTCTCCACCAACACGCATCGCAATGACTCTGCAACCCAACCTCGCCGCTGCAACTCTATCTGGTGCTGTATTTGGACCACTTCTATAACCCTCCTTTGCCGGTGCTGTATTCCGGCCAGCTCTATAACCCTCCCTTGCGGCTGCAACCCTCACCCCTGCAGCTCTCGTGGTTCTATATTTCGGCATATATCTAACATAAATAGTGTTAAGATTCACTCACAGCAAGCTTTCTTAAAGTTATGCTGACATGTTCATTAACAGTTGGTTGGTGTAGTAGACGTTTGGTACCAATCCGAAGATTTAACATTCCAACACAATGATAGTCACACTTTTGTATACCTTTCTATTCATAATCTATCTCCCCTCACCCTGATAGTGGAATGTTTCAAAGAAAAGTCCAAGGACATCTTCAATGTCAATTGCTTCCTTTGCTAACGACTCCATCATGGCTGTAAGAGGAAATCGAGCAAAATGAGTACTTCATGAGCTATTTATGAATATCTCTCTCTCTCTCTCTATATATATATATTATAATTTGGGAAATTGTTTCCATGAGTTTTCAGCATCTCTTAAACTCACCACAACTTTTTAAAAGGTCTAAAACTCACCATATCAGTAAGCTTTTATTTTTCAATACTCACCTTCCCATTAATGTTTCTTAACAGAGGTGTCCACGTGAGCATAAATAACATTTTTTATGACTAAATCATCCTTGAATGGCGAGTAAGAGGAAAATGGCCTTTCTCATTTTTCAATTTTTTTTTTTACATTTTAGTGTTTTGTTATAATTTCTAATGTTTCTTATAATTTCTGGTTTTTTTACATTTTTCTATTTTTTACAACCTATAAAATTTCCTTTATTTTTTGTTATTTATTTGCAATTTCTGTGTTTTTCTATAATTTTTGGTGTTTTCTACAATTTTTGTTTTCTGATTTTGTTTTTCAATTTCTATAGTTTCTATAATTTGAAAATATTTTTTTATTTTTTGTGCAATTCCTATAATTTTTTTATATTTTTGCAATTTCTGTGTTTTTATGTATTTTATATTTGAAAATATTATTTGAACTTTTCCTTTTTTTCATATCTAAATATTAAAATATATGTACATATTTTATTTATGTTTATATTTTATATTTTTCTATGAAGGTTAAAATGGTAATATATTAACAGCCATTAGTCTCTTTAACGTTAAGTTAGTGGCATGGTGAGTTTTAGACATTTTGAAAAGTTGTGGTGAGTTGAGAGAAATGCTGAAAACTCATGGTGAGTTTTTGACAATTTCCCTTATGGTTTTATATTTGGAGGTGATTTGGCATTTGGGTATTTTTTCATCAATCATATATCATAATGGATTTGTTAGCCAAGTCATTTGGTGAACTAATCCAAACTTGTAAAGAACCAACACGAGAAAGAAGTACCATTTGGAAAATATTTCTAAAGGAATTGAAAATGGATTTACTGGTTCATCAATCATTGATGGTTTTAGAACTGCTGAGCCTAAGTTACATGTAATAGTATCTAAAATTACTACCGGAAAAATATATAAAAGATCATTACGCCATGCGGGTTCTCCGTAATAATTATGACCCATCCCTTTAGCCAATTTAGCTCTTAATATAGAATCATTCAAGTCAAGTTTCTTTGTTATAGCAAAAAGTTGAGGTCAAAAATACTTTACCACGTGCCCATTTATATTACATTGAAAATTGAAACATTGAAGGTTTGAATAGAACACAAAGGTGGGGCACAAGGTTGAGATTACATCATGGGATTGAACATGTATGTAGTCAATTGAGTTCCCTATCCAATAGACAGTTTAGTTGTCCAATCAAGATGATTCATATCTCCAACCTTCTTCCCATTTTATTTATCCTAAGGGGACGTTTTTTTTTTGGATTTGGAGAGGGGGGAAAGTTGGTCAATGAGATTTTGGTTCCCATTGATCAAGAATCCCATGTTTTTTTTTCAGCTTTATGTGAGGATCAGGGAAAGTTTATTTTCCTGTGTATCACTTACCCAAGAAAGTGATACCTATCTTCTAGGTGGATAAATAACTTTCTCACATAGAGGGAAAGTTGCCAACACTTGAATGGGACAAAAATGCCCCTTTTAATAATAGATTTTTAGGGCTAATTAAAATGGTCATTGCCTTATTTACCTGAAAAATAAAAGAACATGGTAAATGCGCTTACTGGGTAAGTGTTTCCCAAGTAATGGCATTTACACGTGTAAGTAACTTATCGAAAAGCGAACTAGGCCTATATACTAAGAAGCATTGTTCATGTTAGAAGAAGGACTCTGCCATGCGGATACATTAATAATGATACATCTGGGGATGGAATCCCCAAATATGTTTCATCGACAGGTTCCAAATTCTAACAAAATAAAAAAAAAAAGAATATAAGAACTTGGAAAACATCATCCATCCATACAAAGAACATACATGTATAATGATCTAGAACCAGAAACTCAATTGAACAGCCATAGCTTAGTAGATCATGACTAAAGCAAGTCAGCTTGGCAATTCAAGCAAATAAAGATTTACTTATAAAACAAACTCTTTAATGACAAAAAGACTATTTCAGAGGAATGTTGTCTTGTGGAAGAACTCCTGCGCTTCACCACACAACTCCACACCACGAGTGTTGCAAGGGCGGGGGTTGCAACGGCTAAGGAGAGTTACAGAGCTGGCCGGAATACAGCACTGGTGAGGATTGCAGCGGCAAGAGAGGGTTACAGAAGTGGCCGAAATACAGCACCAGAGAGAGTTGTAGTTGCAGAGTTGTCTCATGTGTGTTGGTGGGGAGGCCAGGAGGAGAAGAGAAGAGAGAGGGACTTGCAGCGGCTCAGATGCAGCATCGTCTCGGATGACAGTAAATAATGATATTTGCCTTGGGATGTCAGTGAGGGTGAAGTGGCAGTGGGTGGAGAGAGGAGGGAGGGGAAGAGAATACTTAAGCGGGAACAATGGCATGAAAGGATATGTAGGCTTGGGTTAAACAAATCTGATAAAAAAATGGTGTCCACACTTCCGTTACCGTTAGCATCTCAAGTCCATTAGCTTCAAAATGAAAGGGAGAGTGTGACGTGTTCCAATAATGGACGGAATAGAAAATTTTCTGTCTTAGGGGAAAGACGATGTGATCACTTTCAAGGAAGACCCAAGGCTTCAAAATGAAAGGGAGAGTGTGGGTTGTTCATGGCTCACAACTGAGTAACAGCCCCATGTGTTATACTGTTAATCATGAACACATTAAGAACAAAACTAGAGAAAGGAAGCTCAACATGCAAGACATATATAATTTAATTTGTTTGATCACTAAGGCTATGTTTGGTTTCAAGGAAAAGTTTCCCTTCCTTTCCCTACTTTTTTTTTCAAACCAAACACAGTTTAAAAGAAAAGGTATATCTACATCCAAGCAATAGTCTAGAGGCGAAGGTGGGAACTCCCTCCCACAAAAGATCAGCATTAGAGTATTTAGCCATGCTCACCACAGAATGAGCAGCTTACTTGATCTATTAACATACTCTAGAAACTAAAAAAAGACCTGAAAAGGCCAATAACTTTGTCTAGCAAAGGCAAACAAGTCCAAGGCATATCCCCAAAAGAAGCAAAAGATAAAATGTTATTAAAATAACTGCCACCAGATGAGTAGGAAAGAGGTTTGAAACCAAGGTCTGAATCCAAATTTTTATGCAATTTCTATTTTTTGTATTTTTTCCATTTATTTATTTTCTTATAACTTATGTTATTTTTTTGCTTTTTTTTGTAATTTTTTGCAACTTCTTTAACTTTCTGTTTTTTATCTTTTTATTTTTTAATTTTCCTGTATAGCTTTCTATGTTTTTATACATTTTTATTTCCTTATTTGATTTTTTTATTTTTTCTACTAGTTTTGGGTTGAAATATAATTATTTTAATTTTTTTCAATTTAGGTATTTTATGCAATTTCTACTTTTTAAAACAGTATTTTTTGTTTTTATCATTTTCTTTTTTCTGCAAATTTATATCATTTTTTGTGTTTTTCATTATTTTTTTGAAACTTTTTATGTTTTTATTAATATTGGCATTTTTAGTAATTTTCTTAATATTTGTATTTTTGTTTGGATAGAATATTTATATTTTCTTAATACTTGCCTTGGAGTAGCAGGTCTTATGGGTGGGTTAGGTTGGGTCAGGGTCAAGGTGGGTTATGACCCACTATGACCCAGTAAATAGAGTGGCAAATGGGTCAGAGGGTCAATGTGGGTGGATTGATATTTATCCCTCACCCAACCCAACCCAATCCACCCATTTGCTGTCCCTACGAGAAGTGGGTGGAAAAGTCACCCAAAAGAACAATAGACACAAATTCAGTGGTTCTCTTCAACAATTTGTATGGAATTTGATTGAAACTAAAGGGTAAAATAATCATTTTACGAATTATATCAATGGTGGAGGTATAAGTTCTGTTAGAGAAAGAGGAAAGGTGCAAGTATTTATTACGGTGATGTTTGACGCTTGACAAGTCTTTTCAGAAAGATCTTGCAACAACCATATAACTATGGATAGATCTTTCAGCAATCCAACAGATAAGAAGATGCATTGAACTTTTGAGGTCTTGTACTGTTTGGTTAGTTTCATGGTCTATTGAACTGTTACAAAATAGTTGGGAAGCTATTTTCATTCCAGAAAGATCAAAAGCTTCTTTTGAAGCTTCCTAATTTTCGACTTTTTCAATCTTTCTTCGTAGGGTCTTTTGGTCTACAAGATACCAAAGGGAAAAAATCATTTTTTAATCTTTTGAACTTTCCACAGACCGAAAGATGTGCTGAAAAGACTACCCAAACACCACCGTAAGTATCTTGGTCTACTGTCGCCTATTGGACTATTAAACAAAAGATTTTAGGTGTGAAAACACAGGGAATCTTCATTTCAGCTTCGTAATTTTCATTATTTTGGGATTTCACGAGCTTTACTGGGCATGGGTCTTTTTGGCTTCCCATCTTTTATTGTCAAATGGAATAAAAAGATAATATTTTGGTCTTCCACTCTCTCAAAAAAAAAAAAAGTTTCACACAAAATAAAAATATAATACAAATCTCAACAATTATTGGATAGATGGTGTACTTACTCGATCACCAGGTAAGTATACAATTAGTGAGCTTTTGGAGACAAATAGAAAAAGAAATCTGCTAAAACCGTGGTCATATGCCAATTAGACCTGTTCATGGGCTGGGTAGTCCGATGGTCTGGCCTGCACGCCAGTCGGGCTTGGTCATGTAATTAGGCCCGCGGGCTTGACCTCGGGCCTAACACAGTAAGTCTGACTGTGTTACGGGTCGGGCTCGGGATTTGTCAAAAAAGCTCGACCCAAGCCCAGCCCGACCCGACTCAACATTATATATTTTATAAAATATATAATATGTATTTTATATATTATATAAAATATATAAATAATATAATATTTATTGAAATATATATTTATAATTTAATATATACATTTTTTTATTTATTTTTTATAATTTCTCTCTCACTCTCTCTCTCTATTCAACCGCTTCAGCAGTAGTAACAATATGGGCTAAATTTCGGGCTCGGGCCCAAGCCCGAGTTTCAGGCTTTTATGAGGGCCAGGCTCGGGCCCAAATTGTAAGCCCGATGGTTGGGCCGGGCTCAAGCTCAGGCCTTAAAAAAATCTGTTAATATAGAGTGAAAGCCCGGCTTGACCCATAAACAGGTCTAATGCCAAACCAATGAAATTTGGAATATACATGCAAGACAGATTTTTCTCCACATCAACCATATTGAATGAGTGTAGGCCATATATATATATGTAATCTATGGCCGGTGGCAACCAGTTTGTGCCTAGGCGTGCTATCCACCACATGCCACCGATGCTGCACATTTTTCAAGCTCACAGTGGACGGCAGTTTGGCACTTGTGGAAATTCAAACCAAGAACATGAATCTTTTCAAAAAAATTAGGGTTTTTGTTTGAGACTTGAGAGAGATACCACGTGATAACCCCCATATAGATATGGTCCCAATATCGATGAGCTTTTTCCTTTCTGGCTATAAAAAGGTAAGATCTACTCAATGACCCTCATCAACCAAGCATTCTTTGTAGTCTTCTCTGCTTTCGCACCCGAAAATGGCGGTGAAGGTCTATGGTCCAGTGACGGCAGTTTGCCCTCAGAGAGTAATAGCTTGTCTCATTGAAAAAGGTGTGAAGTTCGAAGTAATACATGTAGACCTCGACTGTATGGAGCAGAAGAAACCAGAGTTTCTCACTAAACAGGTTAGTCCATGTTGGGCAGCTAGCTCCTGGAGTACAGTTCCATGCCTCAGATTTATAATAGTTAAGTAAACAAAATTTGTGGGGCTTAATTAGGCTGCATTTGGAAATGATGCAAATGGAGTGTAAATCCTGGTTTAGGATATATTTGCATTCTGGTTTACTTTTGTCTGTCATTTGAAAATGACAAAAAACACATTTTCTAATACATATTTATATTGATAATGAAATATAAAAGTATATGATAAAAAAAGGTAAATTTGCATTCAAGTAGGCTTTTGATAAAAAAGACATACTTTATTAAAATTCTTTGTATTCAATGCAAAATTAATCCAACTTTACAATTTATATGAAAGGTTTTATACTCTACATATTTGCATTGTTTTCAAATGTAGTTTTAGGAGAAAACAATATAACCACTTTGATTGTTTTTCCATCTCTAACTTTAGATTTGGGGTGCTTATTTTGTACCCGTTTGGGCAAGTTCCTGTGATAGAAGATGGAGATTTCAGGCTCTTTGGTAACATCAGAACCTCCAATCTGTATAGAATTCCTCTATTAATATCACATCCATGCATAAACTAATTTATTCTCTATTTTTTTTTTCTTTCTACAGAGTCAAGGGCAATCATAAGGTATATTGCAGCTAAATATGCTGACAGTGGTCCTAATCTTCTTGGCAATACTTTGGAAGAGAAAGCTATGGTGGATCAATGGCTTGAAATTGAAAATCACAACTATAATGACTTGGTGTTCGGTATTGTATTTGAACTACTCATCCTCCCACGAATGGGTAAAGTGGGGGATAAGGCTTTGGTTTATGCCTGTGAGCAAAAACTTGCAAAGGTGCTTGACATTTATGAGGATAGGTTGTCAAAAAGCAAATATCTTGCCGGAGATTCCTTCACCCTGGCTGATCTCAGCCACCTTCCAGCCACCAGATATCTGACAAATGAAGCAGGAATGGGGCATCTTGTGAGAGACAGGAAACATGTTAATGCATGGTGGGAAGATATCTCCAAAAGGCCTGCTTGGGAGAAAGTTCTGAACCTCATGAATTGATCATTTATAAGGTGTTCAACCTAGCTCTACTAGTTATCTAAGGAGGATTGCACTTTCTAGTCATGGGGACAAATTAAATGGCTAGTTTATTAAGGTTGACAAAAGGAAATTAATAAAAATAGAAATAAACCCCATCTATGGATATGGCCATATATGTAATATTTGTTGTATTTTATTCAGAGAAAAACTTTTAATCACCATGAGGTTTATTATAAATAATGAAACATCCCCTCACCTTTCTAAAAGGACATAGACCTCCTTGTTGAATGCCATTGCATAACATCAAAACTAACATTTTGGTTTGAAGGAAAAGGTAAGAAAAGGAAGGGAAAGGCAAGGAAACCTATACAAGATTTGTAAATAGTGATGACAATTTCCTCCCGTAAAACCAGGGCCCCACCCCGCCCCGTCCCGAATAGGACGGGTTTTCCCTGACCCTAAACAAGGATGGGGCGGGGATGGGGAAAATAATTTTTCCCCGAATCGGGTACGGGGTGGGGACGGGTTATTTATATAATTCCCCGAACTCACCTCGAACCTGAAGGGGACGGGTTTTTTATATAATTTCCCGAACCCACCCTGAACCTGAAGGTAGATTAGTAAAAGATTTCTAGGTTTAATATTGATATTTAAAATATTTCTAATTTTCCCTAAAATTTTAAAATCCTATGATCCCATAATTTTGTTTTTGAATTACCCCTAAAGTATTATAATTCAATTCTAAAATACCTCCAAATTCCTATATCCTATGTATAAATTGTCAATAAAATAGACAGTTTTTAAGTAATTGCCTTGTAGTGGGGAAAATTCGGGGATTTCCCATCCCCAATGCCCGATGGGAAATGGATGCCTTGCCCCAAACCCGCCCCGCCATTGGGGATGGGGCGAGTACGGGGCAAGGTATCGTGACTTTAGGGCGGGGACAAGGAGGGGATTCCTCGCCCCAAACCCGCCCCATTGCCATTCCTATTTGTAAAGGTTTCCTTATTTTTCCCTTTCTTTCCCTACTTTTTCCTTCAAACCAAACACAACCTTAGTTTCTATTAACATAAAACTCTCCCAAAATTCCAGAGGCTTATGTTTGATAAATCTAAAATTTTAGATCTGAAAAGTTAAAAATGTATTTTGTATTTGAAATCTGAAAAGAAGCATATATACTTTTATACTTTTTAGATGCTCTGAATCCATATATTTGTTTGTGTTGGATAAACCTTTTACCATCTGAAATTTACTAATTTTACTATTTTACCCCTAAAATATACTATTTGAAAATATTGAGTTAAATTTACATTATCGCATAAAAAATATTTTTCATCCTCAAAATAATATTGAAACAATACAAATAAAAATAATAAATTAATAATTAATAATTAATAAATGAAACGAATAAAATTAAAAAAAATAAACTAAATAACACAATAAACTGATCAAACACCTCATACAAATTGTCTTTATAAAGCTGTACAGGGGCGCAATTGTTCGTCGATCTTCGCAGAAAGAAAACATAAAAGAGAAGAGGGAATAGTGAAGCTGTCGATTTTATTGGACTATACTCTACTTCCAAATTAATTTCAGTGTGATGGGAGAAAGTCAGAAAACCTTTTACAGTTTCATTGGGAAAAGAAAAGGATGAATGGGGTGAGTAAAAGATTCACACCCCTGGAAGTGTATCTACCTCCGATCAATCCCAGTAACTGCGGCAATGACCTCTGCAGCCTGGTAAGCTCTCTGGGTGATGGAAGGCCAAATCCAGCAATTTCCACTGCAATCTCCCATCTCCTTCAATGCGAGGACCGCTCTCACCGTCTGTTTCTTCCCTAGTTCCGAGAGCCCGCTGTCCACGGACGTCTTTGCTACTGGGTTCGTGTTGATTATGCCAAGCCTTTCGAATTTTGACTCCCCAAATCGAACTAAAAGTATCTTTTTTTCTCCGAGACAACTTGAAGACGAACAGAGATCAAATTATTTCAAGTTTCCACCGTAATTGCAAATAAGAGAATTGATAGCTTTAAAATTACCGATTGTTGAGACGAACTGGAGGCATTTGGAAGAGGCCTCGGGCAACTGCTGTCCGTGCCGAGAGGATGCATGGAGTTTCAAACGGGGAGGGAGTGACAGAGATGATCAGGGAAATGAGGAGACAGCGGCGGTCAAGAGAGAGAGAGTGATCGAGAGAGAAGTTGCAGCGGCGGTTGCGGGAAGTGGGAAGACAGGGGGAGAGAGAGAGTCGCCGCTGCTGAGAGTTGCAGCGGCGGTGATACGAGAGAGAGAGTTGCAAACCCCCATCTCCGGCCTCCCTATCTTTCTCTCTTCCTTCTTCGTTCCTCTGTATTCTGTTTTTTTTTCTTTCTTCTTCATCTTCTCAGATTCACCGGAATACACTGTTTGACATTGTGCACTCACCCTTTCCTCTCGACAGCGGCGGCGAACCAACAGTAGGTCTCCGTCCGTTCTCTCTCTCTTTCCCTCTCTTTCCTCTTCTTCTTCCTCCCAGCATTTTCGTCCTTCTCTTCTCCTGTTTTTCATCACCGCTGCAATTTCAGGCAGCGGTAGTTCTCCGCCTCCTTCTCTTCTCCTTCTCTTCCTTATCTTCTCCTCCTCCTTCTCCCTTAACATTCAGTTCTCCGCCCGTCCCTCTCTTCCACTCTCTCCCTCTTCCGTTTGTCCATCAGCTTTCTCTCTCTCTCCCTTCTCCCTGTTTTCCTTCGCCCTAAGATTCCACTGAAGAGAGAGAGAGAGAGGCGTTCTTCGTTCCTGAGCGAGAGCGAGAGAGGCATTCTTAGGTTTTTTGGATTTGGGGTAATCAGGTGTAATGCACGTCATTTCTAAAAAAGTAAAAGGATAGATTCGACCTTACACTGGTTCTAACCCAAAGGCCTATTATATTCAGATCTGTAAATAAGATTTATAAAATAAAAAAAAGCAACATTTTGAGATTACCTCTGAAAAGTGCAATGAAACGTGGACACCTTACACTTCTTCATAGATATAAATGTTGACCAAAAAGTCTACCTTTCCAAATAAAAAGAAAATGAATGTCTTCTAGTTCTAGATACATCACCTATTTTTTGGGTTAGAATATCAGTCACCAAAATCTCTTGAAAAATTAATCTTATTACACCTCCCACACGATCCAAGGCATGGAAAAAATGATGGGGAGAAACCCTAGAGTTTATCAACAATCATAGAGGTTAAAAATCAAGGTTGTGTGCACCTCAAGAACAATTAAAGCATTGTGCAGTCTGAAAGTCGTTGGCATCTTTTTCAACTTGGTTTCAAGTTCAATTCTTTAGATTGATTTTCATTTTAATTTCAACATCATCATTTTTACTCCAGTGTATAGGTCAATAGCATTGAAACTTATCATCTCTTGCATGGTACTTGTTATTTAATTTTCTCAATTTCGTTTACTTATATATTTTCCATAGTGCTACTTTTTTTTAGTTTTATTTTCATTTTTGAATCCATTCATTTGGCTTGAGAATCCTTGTTACATTCATAGGTATGTTGAGTTCTCCCCATTTCTTGCTTAATTTCCATGTTTAATCTATTGCACCATTTTCTTTAATTTTCTGTTTGATTTATAAATCATTTTTAGACTATCTTGCATCTTGTTCCCTAGGTCAATTTTTAATTAGTTTAGTTATTGCACTAGTTTAATTATTTTTGGTTTGACATTACTAATAATTAATTTTCTTAGCATAAAGAAATAGTTGTTCTCCATCTCATTCTTTCAGCATAAAAAGTCTTTCTCATGCATTAAATTTCTTTGCTTTTCTTACACTTGGCATGTCTAGTTCCTTTGTTTGCATAAATTCTCATAGATATGTTGCCCCCATCTATTTTTTAGTAGCAAGCAAATGCATAGGATGCATGGATAGGGTCGAATACATAGAAAATTTTGGTTGGGTTAGGGTTGGCAAATTTGGGGTGGCTTGGATCGATTTTTATCCACACTTTATTAGAGAGGGTGAAAAGAAGTTCAAAGATATTTATATAAGATGAAATGATAGATTTAATGGGGCAGGGAAGATGTTACAAACAATAACTATTGAGGAGAGAGAGAGATGTAAGATGATTTTATTAGAGGAGTAATGATATATTTTAATAGAGAAACTAGCAGGATCCGTGCGATGCACGGGATTTGCTAAGCAAAAGCTAAACAATAGAAACACATAAGAATATATAATTGTTTTGTATTTTTAACTTTAAATAAGTAATAATTATTTAAATTTTATATACTATTTTTAATAATTTTTTTACAATACAAAAAAATAACAATAATTAATTTCAGCTAGGGTTGTTCATCAAACTGATAAAACCAATTAACCCAACCAACTCGGGGTTGGGTTGACCGATTTTTTTGTATTTCGGATCAGCTTTGGTTCAACAGTTTTCTAACCTGACCAGGTTGGATTAGTTTCACTTTAACCATTTGTAAATCAACCAAAATGGAATGGCTCGACCACTTATACACGAAAGTGGGAAAATTACCATATTTCTTAGTCTAAAATATTTTATATCATAAATTTGCTTTTTAACAATGCCATTATATTTTCTAAATTTGAATTTATTTTTTTAAGTTTAAATCTTTTGAACCGATAGACCAAACAAAAAATCGACCCAAACTGATACAACCCGAGTTGGTTGGTTTTCATTAATAGTTAGTTGGTTTTGATGACCACCTCCTCAACCTAACCAGATGAATTTGGTTGGCCAAAAATGCCTACAATCAATCCAAACCAACCCGTGAACACTCCTAATTTTATATAAATTAATAATATAATCTCTAATAAATAATTATAGTTTAATCTCCAATAATTATTCAAAATTAATAGTGAAAATACATAATTATTGAAAATTTAGCAAAAATACACAATTATTGAAAATATATTGATAATAAAAATATAATAATTACAAAAATACAATAAATATTAAAAACTAATATTAAATTAGTCAATAAATAGTGTAATATCAATTAATAGTTTAATCTCTAATAAATATTAATCAAAATACAATAGTTACAGTAAGTACACTAAATTAAATTTAAAAAGTTAAATTACAACAGTTTAATCTCCAATAATTATTGAATTGTTTTTTGTTAAATAAAAAAACAAAACTACATTTATACATAATTATTGAAAATATATTTATCATAAAAAAATAATAAATAATTGATGAAAATAAAAAATTTATTAATTTTAGTATATATAAATATAATAAATATATTAAGATTTTAAAATTTTTATTAGTAAATATTATTTTTTTGAAAGTTATTTTCTTGAATTATTATTTGATATAAGCTGAATTAGTTTTTTACAATATTATCTAGTTATTTAAATAAAATCATTGTTTAAAATTTAAAATATTAATTATTTATTTATTTTAATAATTTTTAAAATTATAATTATACTATTATTACAATATTATCTACTTTTAAGAAATTTTTTAAATTTACTACATAATTTTCTTATTTTAACTATTTAAAATATAGTGTTGTTAAATGTTTTATTATGTAAACATTTAGTTGTTTAAATATTTAATTAATATATAAAATATTAAATGAATTTTATTTATTTTAAAGTTATTATATAATACAAAATACTTTTTTATATAATTATTTAGCTATTTTTAATATTTTTTTATTTAAGATATTTAGTTATTAAAATATTTAAATAATATTTTATTTTTTAATGTTAACTTTTTATTATTTGAATAAAATTTAAATTGGATCATCCAGAAAATCATAATTTATATTGTTAGTACATAATTTCGTGATGAATTTTGTAAAAATATAAAATTATTAATAATATGAATTTTGTAATATAAAATCATAATTTATAACATATTTAGTGCAATTGGTATTTCTAGATAGTCTTATCCAAAGGTATGGCATGCCTTTCACTATGAAATATGAAAATTGTATGCAACTTAACTATCCTTTGTATACCATATGAAGAGTTTATTCCACAAAATAGTATTCCTCAAGAATTGGATGCTTGAGGGGAATTACATTATTCTCCCATTATTGTTGAGCTTCTATAGATATATGGCCAACATTGTGAGCATCATGAGACATAAGTTATTTCCTATACTCATTGGGTAAAGCACCTTTATAGGGTAAATGGTTTATGGCATTATCAATTTCTCTTTGGAGAAAGATGGGAAGAAGAAACCACCTCCAAGGAAGAAAGCTCTTTTTACCTCTAAAGGCTTCCAAAGAGTGTGTCTTAGTAACTTTCTCATCTTTATGGCTGAGCAAATTCATTCTCTCCCATGGTAAAGGGGTTGTACGGCTTGGAACATTCTATATGGCCTTAATAAGAAGGGCATCTCTTACTTCAACTATTTTAGGTTATATTTATTATGTTTTAAACATAGTAGCCACTTGTCCTATAAAACTCGTTAATGCTAAAATTCATTTTTCCCTTTATGTAGTTGTTTGGCTAGGAGAGGTTTTTCCCCACTTTGTTAGAGAATGTCCAAGTAGAGGATATCCACATTCTTACCCATACATGTGCTGCTACAACTCTACGAATTCTCATTAGATGAGTGATTGAATGTGTTATGCTAAGATTCATTTCCCCATCCACATTTTTGCATTTTGCGATTAGAGCAGTAAACGTTTTATTTAGATCCATATACATAATCCCAATTTAGAAGAACTCCAAAACTATTAAGGACTGACTAGATGTAATAATTTCCCAATTTAGAAGAATTTCATAGGCCTTTACTATATATCCATCCATTACCTATATCCCAAATAACAGCTTTCTTAACCAAATCTATGTAGCTAATTAATCATTGATGACTAGGTCCCTAACATGCTTCAGTTAGAGGAGATTGTCCAAGTAGACTTCCCCACAAGAATGTACTTTGACTTAAATATTTCAACCTCAAACTAGAGAAGGTTCAGAGAGAAATCTCCATAACACTTTGAAAGTTGTATTCATTAAATGGATCTCCTTAAATCCAAGTTCACCTTCATCTTTAGGCTTCATAATGGATTTCTAGCACATCTCTAAAGAATTCCACCAAAGGCAAAAATCCCTAGTCATGGAGTTCACTTTTTCACAGAAGTCATTTAGCTAGATTAGATGGCAAAATATATCATGGGATCACCTCCACCAGACTCTTAGGCCCCATTCGCTTTTCGGTAAGTAACTTACTCAGGCAAATGCAGTTACCTGGGTAAGTTTTTTCTAGGAAACACTTACCCGGGTAAGTGCATTTACCCATGTTCTTTAATTTCTCATGTAAATAAGGCAATGACCATTTTAGCCATAAAAATCCATTATTAAAAAGGGCATTTTTGTCCCATTCAAGTGTTGGCAACTTTCCCCCTATGTGGGGAAATTATTTACCCACCTAGGAGATGGGAGATAAGTGATACCCAGGAAAATAAACTTTCTCTGATTTCCACATAAATTTGAAAAGAGAACATGGGATTCTTGGTCAATGGGAACCAAAATCCCATTGACCAACTTTCCCCCCTCTCAAACTCCGAAAAAAATGCCCCCTTAATGGAAACTCCTTTTTTTACTTGCGAGAGGAGTTCAGATTTCCAACCTTGAAGCTTTTCTTTTATCATTTATGAAAATTTACCTCTTTTCCTAACCACTAAGGGTAATCTAAAATGATCTTCCTAAAGAAATTCAGTTTAGGAGTCTTTTTTTTGTAATAAAATAAAATTTATTAAAAGGAAAAAAATTACAGAGGAGAGTGACCAAAAGTCACTCGAGAGAGAAGAGAGAAAAAAACAAAACTTCAAGACTAAACACAAGCACTCCAAGCCAGCCTAGCCT